ACAAATAGCACTATGTGTGCAATATTTCTTTCTAAGCTCACGCTCTGCGGTGCAGATAGGTCATGTGTCGTTGCCAACTTGCCGCATGTGCATGTGCAGCAGGAAGGCACCACATGTCGACTACTACTTATACTGTACAGCATTTTGTGCTGACATGCATCTACGGCCTTGTGGATGCAATTGAGTCTCACATACATGTACATGAAATATTGCGTGTAGTGCGGCATCAGGTGTTAACATACAATGGCTAAATATTTTTCTCGCAATAATGACCGTATTCACCACAAGTGTGTTTATGTCCAGAGCCAACTCAAGTCCTGTATTATTTATGACCATGACAACAAGACTTCCGGGCTGAAATTCTTTTATGACAGGCATAAACACTTGCCTTACAATTGTTCGTGATTGTACGAAGTACATATTCGCTGTTGCATCATTTTTGCACGATTTACATTGTAGTGCCACTAGTGGTATCACCTGCATGCGTATTGAGTCAAACAAGGTTACCTCTGTATAATTATGCTTATCGTGGCTATCAAGAGCTTCGATGCAAATTCCCAGCTGACGAATGGTGTCCAGCTTGTGTTCAGCTCAGCTGGCACTCACAACTCATAATAATAATTGCGTTCTAGACGCCAGATGAGATGTTTCAGCTACAATGTAGACAAAACGTCCGTGTTCAAGAAAGCCGTCACTTCATCTTCTGTCCATCCTCAATAGCACGTTCAAGCAAATACGTCTGAAACACAGTAGCGACAATCCGACAGCGGCGACACGCCGTCTTCTCCGAATGAGCTTCTACCGTTCTAATTCAGATTCCCCCAAAAATGTCAAAATAAATAATAGATTTCCACCAAGCTCGCTAGAATCTTGCGAACCGTCAACATGCAGGCATTTCAAGTGTTCGAGCGTGCGTAGATTCTGCTCAGCGGCTCAAGAACATTCGCCAAGCGAAAAAAAGTCGATGAGAAAGATGTAATGGTGGACGAAATTACGAAAATCGGAAGATTTAAGAAGGTATTCGACCCAGTTCGACTATCCTGGACTGGATTGGCAACGTCCAACAAACGGATTCGTATTCTATGGGGTCTCATGAGCTAGTGTGCCAAAGGGCGTTTAGTTGGAGCTTTAGTGCATCACCTTCGCCGAAAGAGGCCCTTTCTGAGATTTGGCCGATGGACTAATACTGCAGGTAGAATCTACTGCAGTACTGGACAGTGCCAGTCAGTGCAGTCACCATGCCAGGTCCAGGAGTCAAGCTCGCGTGGCATGCTAGCCAAGACTAAAACAAGAGTAGATCTACTACTACTACAGTGGTAGTACAGTGGTCCCTCTATAATCCGGCACCATTTGTGCCACGAAAATCTGCTGGATTAGGGAGGGTGCTGGATTAACAAATCTGATTTACTGCTGCAATGTGCATGAAGAGGACATTTTGGCTACTGAAAATTGTGCTGGTTTATCGAGGGTGCTGGATTATAAAGTGCCGGATTAGAGAGGGACGACTGTAGTAGATATTATACTCTTGCTTTAGTCTTGGCTAGCATGCCACGCGAGCTTGACTCTGAGTTCTGGACCTGGCATGGTGACTGCACTGACTGGTACTAGTAAAAGTAGTAGTGCACTGTCTAGTAGACTCTACCGCCGGTAGTAGTGACTGCTCGCTAGTCACTGTACGGCGCGTGTAGGGACTTACAGGGGAAATCTCTGGGAGATCTTTTTTGCTGAGCATGAGCTGAGCACTTGTACTGTAGTTGTAGACCCGAACCTACTGTAAATATACAAGTTTTCGGCAGCTATTTAATTTAATTTCGGCTATATTCGGCCTAAATTAAAACGCCGATGAATTTTTCACAGCATCTGTCGCACTATACTATGCCCTCTACCCCACGCCGGAAATAAATCGCCGCAGAAATGTCAAAAACCGTGAAGTGCCGAAATTTTGCAGCGCCGAAATTTTGTATATTTACAGTATTCGACTAGAATCAGTACTACTGTCTATTATAGCAATAAAAACTGCTTTATGGCAGTTTTCTAAAAAAAGTTATTGTGTTCTAGTCCATGGACCCCGTCTAAAAAGTAAGAAATTAACGAAATGTGATAGCCGAAAATTAAAATTTCACACGAAACCTCACAATAATCACACACAGGATGAAAAGCGAGAAGACCTTTTCCCCTCGTGGCCCTCTTTCCTATTCATGCATGTTGGCGCAGTACTCCTACAAGTCACCCGTGAATTGTCAGATGGACTCTTGGTCGGACTAAACAAGTGTTGAAAGCAGTATTGTTTTTAAAACTAAGATCCTCAAGTGTTGTGATTATTCAATCATTATTGTGAGGTTTTGTGTGAAATTTTAATTTTCGGCTATCACATTTCGTTAATTTCTTACTTTTTAGACGGGGTCCATGGCCTAGAACACAATAACCTTTTTTAGAAAACTTGCCATAAGGCCAAACTAAAGAAGGTGTGTGGTTCGACTAACATGGACATTTTTTACGGGCGGGCGGGCGGATTTTTTTTTAAAGGGGAAGTTAAGGCAAAAATTAAAATTTCACCAGTTGTAGTCTTCGGGGTGCTGAGTCGAATGGTCGTGGTCCGAGGAATCTGAGACGCTCCCTTCCTACTTGAATCCCAATCGAACTCGCGCACTTCCACTGAAACTGGGTGACTGCGCCCTACTAGATGGGGATTTGAATGCAAAATGCCACTAAAAGCGCCATTTCGTTCTTATAAAAGCACGGATGACCGCGATTGGCCCATATGTTGTAGTCTTTTGGACGCTGAGTCGACTGGTTTTGGTCCGAAAAGGCTGCGATGCAGCGTTCCTCCTTTATTCGCAATCGAACATGGTTGAACAAGCGGTCACGTGCTCCTGGGTGCCAAAATCACCTGGCCACCACGCCAGCAGGCGAGAACTTTCACACCAAGGTTCAACTCGAGTTCAACTCGAGTGACAGGACTGCACCCAAAAAAGGTCAAACAAGCTAGTAAGTTGTACCCTGCAGGCACGGTGACCAGGTGACTGGCGTACGCAGGAGCACGTGACCGCTTGTTCAACCATGTTCGATTGGGAATAAAGGAGGAACGCTGCATCGCAGCCTTTTCGGACCAAAACCAATCGACTCAGCGTCCAAAAGACTACAACATATGGGCCAATCGCGGTCATCCATGCTTTTATAAGAACGAAATGGCGCTTTTAGTGACATTTTGCATACAAATCCCCATCTAGTAGGGCGCAGTCACCCAGTTTCGGTGGAAGTGCACGAGTTCGATTGGGATTCAAGTAGGAAGGGAGCGTCTCAGCTTCCTCGGACCACGACCATTCGACTCAGCACCCCGAAGACTACAACTGGTGAAATTTTAATTTTTGCCTTAACTTCCCCTTTAATAATTATATTTTTTAGTACATGTAAAATACACTGTACTGCCTTTAGACACCCAGTACATCGGCATTATTACGCAGTGTTATGCCATACATGTTGTATAAAGGGATCACTGGCTAATACTTTGAAACATTGTGTAGCTCTGGAACGAGAAGAGAATAACTTCAAGCGGTGACTCTGACTGTCCAAATCATCAAGCAAATGAAGAACGATGCGAGTTGAAGGTAAGTTCGGGAACTACTTCGAAGTACAAATTGTACAATGTACCGGTACATGTATTGCTAGTTTGGTGTCGGCGTGCACGAATACATGGGCTTTTTCCATCGACGCTTCCTGTGCTTGCACACATGGAGCAGCAACTAACTTACCGGTACAGGTGAAATATCGTTCCCAATACACGAGGAAAGTGCAATCTCGTCTGTCCTTCATCCCAAAACAGAAGGCCGTCCTTAATCTGGAACGAGGCAATCACTCTCAACCGGACGGTCACTTCAAAATAAGTCTCGCCAGTCTGCCGGTGGTCGTATCGAGTAGACTCTACTACCAGCACAAGGCAGCAGTCGTACCACTCACTGCACTGCACTGCAGTACAACTACAAGTCAAGTCCAAAAGGAGCCGCCTGCGTCCGCAGACTCGCGCTGCACAGCACGTAGACGTGGACGTGTTCAGTCCACGTACGTCAGTCACACGACAGCCCGCCGAAAAAAAGTTACGGTCGGGGTGAAAAATGTACGGTCGGTCGGGTGAGTCGAACCACACACCTTCTTTAGTTTGGCCTTAAGCAGTTTTTATTGCTATAAGCACTTGTAACTGTGGCGGACATGGAAATCCAGTCGATTGACAGGGGCCCGGCGCCCTCATCGCGTAGATCTACGGAACGCTGCGCGCGTGCAGTGCACAAGTACTATCCACACTACAGGAGTACAGGTGTGAAACGTACTAGTAGCGTCCTCTTTCAAGGTGCGTGCAAGTGCACTTGCATCCACATTCCACACTCGCAAGAACAGCCAGCGTGAAACGTGACTTTTGAGTGCCAGGTCTTGAAATTACCCCAAGCTCTGCAAGCAGCTTCCAGATCTATGTCGGCATCGCCGGAGTCTTCGCTCTGGAGCACCAGAGTAGAGAGCCGGTGGCGGTGTGGCGGCGATATTTCTTGTACTGCTCCCTGGCTTTGGTACGTAGGTTGTCCAGCTTGTTTTGAACAATCGGCACTGTGATCTCATTCTGAAATTTGTCGCCATACAGCTCGCGGCCAAATAAATTCAACTTCACGGCAATCTCCTTCTCCTTCATCGACCGCTTTTTCATCGTCCCATTGCTCGCTTTCTGTTCTGCAGCCCACAGCTCAATGAGCTTTCCTTCCAGCTCTTCACAGAACACAACCCTCGGCATTTTCTCAAGATACTTCAACAAATACTTCACTAACTACATGTACCTACTGAGTACCTCCGAAACCCGGAAAAGCTACTTGAAAGTAAAAAGTGGCCTTGTATCGGGGTTCGAAAGTTGCTGATTACGTTCAAGCGACTTTTTCACTTTCGCGCCGTTTCCCACGGTTCTCCATGATAAAGTACAAGGAAAAGTGACTTGTACGCGGTTTTTGTTGTAGTATAGTGTGGATCCTAGGCTAGTAGATCCTCAGACTCAGCGCAGTAGATCTACGTGGTCTACATGACTGTACTTCACAGTAGAGACGATCCACGACTGGAACGGAAGCTTTCCAGTTGCTGTCCTGTTTTGTTCGTCTAGCGCTGAAACTTGAAAGGACACAGTCCAACCCTGCTGTAGTATCTGTTGCAGTGTTGGTCTCTTGGCGCGAGCTGCTGGGGATTACGTTATTTTGAAGCCGGCGGAGCGCCTTTGTATCAGTTGCAAGGTAAGGTTCATCTCCACAGTAGAGTGTCAATACCTAGGCTGAAGGGCACAGCAAGTGTTCTTTCATTTCAGTCTTACCCCATCGCTAGCACTAGTGTTAGTTCGAATTCTCGTACGATGGCGATGGCGATTCCCCACGCTATGAATGTGTGAACAGCGTGGCCGTTTGAGCGTGTGCCGGCCGGTCATTTGAAGCTTGACTGTCTGTGCTAGATCGTGTTTACAGGGCCGCCGGAACCGCTCAGGCTGGTCCGGCCATGGCCAGACCACTTTCCCAGCTGGATGGTCCATGTGATTCACGCAAAACCGGTGTAAAAAAATTCAGAGGTACATGACTGTATACTGTGGACATTGTTATGTGCTTCGAAGTACATTGTAGCTCAGAACTCCGTGACGAAGATTGAAGATTGTTCTGCAGCACGACCTCCTGAGCTCACCTGCGCCATCCACCAAAGTAGCACCAGTCACTCCTATCAGAAATGCATGCACTAGTCAACATTGGAAACAAGCGAAAACATCGCACAACACAGAAGAGACTCGCTCCAAAGAGATAAGATCGAGGAAGCCGAAAAATAGAGTCGTTCGTTCGATAATGAGGCAGTCGATGGGAAAAGTCGGCACGAGATCATAGTTACTAAATAGGTAAAAAAACGTTCTTTTTTTACCTATTCCTTGCAGTGCACTAGTGCACGCTACATTGCTGTGCATGAGAATGTGGCGCTACACAGCCTACAGTAATGGCAGTGTCATGTACAATGTAGGTACGTGACGTAAGTCGTTTGTCCAGCACTGCCCCTGGAAAACCCATGGGCAGTGTGCCCCGCGTTGTCCATACCACGTCGTTTTAATATTAGTACAGTGCGACTTTGCGAAGTAAAATAAAGAATACAATACTAGAATGCAATCTAAAAGACGGTGGGGGTGGTGAGAAGGAGAGCTCTGTGCCAGAGCTATGCAGCCTAGAGAGCGTGTGTGGGCAGGCGTGTGTTTGCCGCCATATTACCAAGTGTGTCTTTGCCACCATATTTATCAACCTATAGAATACAAAAACACAATAACTTTGGCAAGTCCGGCCTCCGGGGCCATGCAAACAAGATCCAAGAGGATTGCTAGCATTGGTTTACTTGCGCGGCGGTTTTGCTGCACTTGGATTGTGCAGCTGGCAGGGTGATGGCAGAAGTTCGTCAGGTACCACAGAAAGTGGAGACAGCTGCGTTTATCACTGTGCAGTATGCAGTGTGCCTTACCGTTATAGATTCTTTTAATAAACTCTTCAAATCAAACGTGGTTGGAGTTGAGAAGTGAAGTTTGCTAAATCAAAGGTGGTTGGAGTTGAGAAGTGAAGTTTGCTAAATCAAAGGTGGTTGGAGTTGAGAAGTGAAGTTTGCTAAATCAAAGGTGGTTGGAGTTGAGAAGTGAAGTTTGCTAAATCAAAGGTGGTTGGAGTTGAGAAGTGAAGTTTGCTAAATCAAACGTGGTTGGAGTTGAGAAGTGAAGTTTGCTAAATCAAAGGTGGTTGGAGTTGAGAAGTGAAGTTTGCTAAATCAAAGGTGGTTGGAGTTGAGAAGTGAAGTTTGCTAAATCAAAGGTGGTTGGAGTTGAGAAGTGAAGTTTGCTAAATCAAAGGTGGTCGGAGTTGAGAAGTGAAGTTTGCTAAATCAAAGGTGGTTGGAGTTGTGAAGTGAAGTTTGCTAAATCAAAGGTCGTTGGAGTTGAGAAGTGAAGTTTGTGCTAAATCAAAGGTCCTGTGAACATATGTTTGTAACCTTGTTGTAAAATTGAACTCGGATAATGAGCCAGTATGAAATGTACTGACCACTGATTATCTTGTTACATTCGTGGATCGATAGTGTCTTCATAACTCGTTTCCATGTATTTGCTTCTTCTATTTAACCTTGGTGTACATAAACTTAGTTTTTTACTACATTGGATCTTGTCTTTGAGCCCCCAAGCGGTTGCAAATCTTGCAGCAACCGAAATTTTGTTTTGCATGGTTCAGTGTGACAGTGTGTGAAGGCTTCAGCAGTACAGGCCAAAGTGTGTGTTTAGCCCTGGGAGGAGGCCGACATTTGAATGGGCCGAACATTTGTGGACTTGCAGTACATGACTACATCCGTGCTACAGATATTGCAGAGTTTTCACTCTACAGTTTAAAAGACTATTCAGTGTGCGTTCTAGGATTTCAAACCATCTGGGTACACGTGTGCCTGGCAGAACCATTGCAACCGGGTCAGAGCCGGGTCAGAGCCGGGTCAGAGCCGGGTCAGAGCCGGGTCAGAGCCGGGTCAGAGCCGGGTCAGAGCCGGGTCAGAGCCGGGTCAGAGCCGGGTCCATTCAAGTGCGGCTACTGTATGTACGTCAGCCTATGATCAGGGAGTTGTAAATAGTACATGTACATTGTATTCCCAAACGGCTCACAGGTAACCCAGTGCTCCTTTTCTAAACGGGTCCAAGTACCCCACAAACGGCTCACAGGTAACCCAGTGCTCCTTTTCTAAACGGGTCCAAGTACCCCACAAACGGCTCACAGGTAACCCAGTGCTCCTTTTCTAAACGGGTCCAAGTACCCCACAAACGGCTCACAGGTAACCCAGTACTCCTTTTCTAAACGGGTCCAAGTACCCCACAAACGGCTCACAGATAACCCAGTGCTCCTTTTCTAAACGGGTCCAAGTACCCCACAAACGGCTCACAGGTAACCCAGTGCTCCTTTTCTAAACGGGTCCAAGTACCCCACAAACGGCTCACAGGTAACCCAGTGCTCCTTTTCTAAACGGGTCCAAGTACCCCACAAACGGCTCACAGGTAACCCAGTGCTCCTTTTCTAAACGGGTCCAAGTACCCCACAAACGGCTCACAGGGAACCCAGTGCTCCTTTTCTAAACGGGTCCAAGTACCCCACAAACGGCTCACAGGTAACCCATTGTTCCTTTTCCAAACGGGTTCAAGTACCCCAAAAACGGGTCACAGTACCCCACAACCGGGTCGCTGACCCGGCTCTGGAGCAGACTCTGCCGTTACGTATGAAAATCAGTACGTCGCACACACCGTATAGTGAAGAGTCTAGTGTTGAAACGAATAATCGAATAATCGAATAATTTAGAATATTCGTGGGATGAACGAATAATCGAATAGTACAGTCGTAGGAATTATCAGAAATCGAAAAAAAAACAAAAAAAAAAGATCTATGCTCAGTGCTGACCCTACTGATATTTGCACTGCGTAGATCTGCTCGTAGTATTTCTTCTCAATCTCATCTCCTCCAAGTTTTAATTTCCTATCGATATCTACAATACTTCTGTTCTTTCCATACGAGGGAAACATGGATGCAGTGAATGTGATTTTCGGTCTTTGACAACTTTCGACCAAGACCCTATGCAGAGCTGTATCATATCAGGCGTTGCACACTCTGGGGGTTTATGTACTCTTGGCGGTACAGGTTAACCGGTTTTGCACCTCCACATACATGTAACAAAATCCGATAATCAGCAAAAAATTCAAAAAAAACTACTTAAAAAGTGCTGAAAAAGTGTTGAAAAATGCCATCATGTGTATGATAGAATATAGATTATTCGTTCGATGGAGGGCGAAATTATTCGATAGATTATTCGTTCGAAGAGTCCGTGTTCGGTTTAAACACTAGGAAGACACTAATCATATGTAACTCTATCTACGGATTTCTGTTGGAAAGCGTTTTCGTATATTCCTTTCTCTGTAGGACGTTTGAATTACTTTGTCAGATTCCCGATTTTATCCATGGATGCAAACGGGAACCTTGGCCTTACTCTGTTGCCATGGAAATGGAGGACTGATAGAATCAGTTTTTGATTGGTCCAGGAGTAACATAGCCTTGCACAATGAATGTATGATACGGCGGTGCTGCATAACAAGTCATTTGCCTTATTCGGTGTACAGTCAACTTCGCTAATACCGAATGCGGATATGACGACAATTCGCAAATAACGACACAATTTCCATGCCCAGAGCAAAGTCACATCCAACTGTAATACTTTAATGGGACTTCGGGTATAACGACACTTCGCGAATAAGGACACTTTTCTGATTCCCCGCCGAGTGTCGTTATACGCCAAGTTGATTATAACTGTAGTTTTGGAAATTTAGGAAATTTAGGAAATTTAGGAAATTTAGGAAATTTAGGTAATTTAGGTAGAGAAGACATGCACCCATATATAGATTACACGTAAAAATAAAACGCTGGTGAAAGGAATCCATGGGCGCATTTGGTTTGTACGACGTAGAACAGGATTCACCAGGACAGCGCGTTTGGTTGGGACTGCACTTGTTCTGGGTCGGCCAGAACATGTTCTGCTTGCTCCGGCCTTGAGGCCGGAGCAGACCGAGCAGTTTCACTTTTTCACAGTGAAACCTGGTGGGAACATCGATTTTGGTCCCAAATGATCACGTGCATATGCTTTTGGGTTGGACTTGTCGTACCGTACACAGTGACCATGGTGACCCATACACATTTTGAAGAATGTACCAAGTTTGGCATATTTTTCACAAAACTGTGCTCTGTTTCTGGAGTAGCGTTTGGTTGACATGAGGCTGCTCCATGTGCACCAGCTGTTCGATCCTGTTCTAGATCGTACCAACCAAACGAACTCTATGTGAAGGGTAGGGTGGTCACCTAATTATACATTACGCTTGAAACTTGACAGGTCCCTTACCCCGAAATATTAGTGCATCGACAATTACATAATTATAGAAAACTCATGCCCTAGCTAGCAGTAAACACATGCGCTGGTGGCCAATCAGCTGGGCTGGCAATGAGGTAACCAACTAGACCGACTCCGGTGGGTCTGCAATATTCCAGTATTGTCCGACACTAGGCCGATTAGAATCGATGGACATCCGTGCAGGGAAAAATGTGTTTGAGCATTTCATTGACCGTATTTCCGGAATGTAAGCCGCACTGGAGTATTGTAAATATACGAAATTTCGGCCCTGCAAAATTTCGGCACTTTACGATTTTTGACATTTCGGCGGCAATTTATTTTTGGCGTGGGGTAGAGGGCATGGTATTGTGCGACAGATGCTGTGAAAAATTTCATCGGCGTTTTAATTTAGGCGTTTTGGGTCGGTGCCGAATATAGCCAAAATTAAATAGCTGCCGAAAATTTGTATATTTACAGTATTTGATTGTAGTCATAAAACACAGGTAGAGATCGGCTATAGAGTTGGTCTTTGAATGAGAGAAAAGTGATCACTATAAACAATTATCACTACATACGATCATCCTGGTTTGGGTGAGAGTAATAACTTTACGACGTAAGTCATGACGTCATGTATATGGGACGCGCGCTTGTGAGACCTTGAGCATGATGTAGAGGCGACGGTTCGATACCGGAATGGCTTGACAGCCAAATTTGTATAGACCCAAACCGTTCATCAGCGTTGATTGTCCACTCGAAATATGTTTGTGGAAGGAAAATGGCATGTTGAAGTTTGCTCTGAGGCCAGAGTCAATCGAACTGAGCCACTCTTTTGTGTTGACCCATTGCCTCCAATTTGCCCAATTTTTCGCTTCAAATCAGAGGTGGCTCCAAACCGGACAGGTTTTAGAGTGCACGTCAAATTCACTCTGGGTCTGAAATTAGGTAATTGCTATCGCTCCACGACGGCCAGTACAGAGTAACAATAAGCCTTGTGTGTGCTTCCATTAGTTTTGATTGGTTTGCGGTGCTTTATTGGCAAGAGGCGAGCCGCTGTTTACCTGCTACAAGAAGTTGATTTTCGAAAGTCGTAAAACTCAAGTCGCAGTGCAAAGCATCACGTCAAAAACTCACCTGCTTGGTATGGCGCTTGTGGTCATTGCAGAGCCATGAAATTTTGGCGCGGAGTATAACACATCGTAGTCTCACTATGACATATGTTTTCTAATCAAAATACGAAGAGAGAAAGTGAATATTGAGTCCATTCCGGTTTGCAACCTATGTCCTATTTGAAACCGTCGCCTCTACAGTGCAGTACACGCACGCGCGCTACTGAAAAATACCTATTATTTTGCATTGTACTTGGTGCGAAAAGAAACATGTACGTATTGTATGTATCGGTGAAACTTGCAGAGACTTGACTGTGACTTGTTAATTAAGAGACCATTGTATGTATTACGATAAACGATCCGAAATGTGTGCAGTTAGTAACATTAATATAACCGCCAATGCTTTAACCGATCTCGATCTGTATACACATCTACCCCCGCTGACCGCTGGAACTTAGTTCCGGCATCGGTCCGCCTTGCTGCTTCACCAAGTCAATTTCGTATCGCAATCCTAGATTGGCTAGGGTACCCCATAAGGAGACCATAGGTCTGTGGGGACTGCCCTAGAGAAATATGAATAAATACTAAAATACTAAGCTATACTCCGTTTATCACCATTCATTTGATCAAGCCACACCGCCTTTTTTTGTAGGGGGGGGGGGGGGGATAACTGGTGTTTATAGTGTGGCTGTTACTCCGGAAGATACGGTACTGAGCTCTCTGATTTCTCGAAATGCTTGCCATCCATGCCTTCCACTTTCTATCTGCTTGTTAGGTCGACTTTTCATAAGCAATCTCGGAACCCTCGACACCTGTGAGCTGCAATCAGCATGTCAGGTAAGACTGTAGCAATACGCCGTATTCCATGCGACCATGCACATGTGTACTGTGAGTGCTGGACTAGTGCTGGCACACGGACAGACGTGCACTACGAGTGCAGAACTAACACTGGTATATGGACAGATGTGCACTGGCAAGACGTGGAAGATCTACGCTGTGCAGAGCCCGAGTTCAGTAGATGATATGAGCCGCAATCAGCGAAAACGACCCTTAGAGGTTTCGTAATTTTTTCAAGAAAAAGGTCGATTTGTGACGTTCAACGATTTTCTGATCGCGCTGCGAACAGCGCGACGAGCTCTTCTTGAACTCCTTGCTTGAATTTATTTGAAGTTAGTTAGTTGCAGTGGTGTCGAGTGGCGACTCGAGTGTTCCTTGATCTTGTTGCGATGGCTGCGGACGCCAGAGCTGCTCGCAGAGCACACACGGCAGTCATTGTGTACAGCTAGCTCGAGCCTGGTGGGGAGTGGATGCTGAAGTAGCCGCTGAAGTTCAGAGTGACGATGAGACGTTCTTTGGTTCCGACATCGATGTCGACAGCGAGGCGGAATCGCAGCCGTCATCTCCTGCTGCGTTGCGGCTCAAGGCGGTCGATGACTCGTCAGAGTCGGAAGATGAGGAGTCATCACCTGAGATAAATTCTGAGTCTGGGGCTAGTGACGGCAGCGACGTCGTGTCGTCAGCTGCGGAGGAAGAAATGGAAGACATTGCGGAACGACTCGCAGGATGCAGCTGCAAATAAGTCGATCATGTCTCCGCACTCTTCAGCTATTCTTTGGCATTCTAGCTGCTTACTGCACTATTTCAAAGGTATTCAAGCTGCCTACCCACCTTAGAATGCTGAATATTTATTGTGCAGATACATCGTATACATACATTGCACCAATTTGGAGTACACCTTGTATATTGGTGTATACACCCGTTTTGAATCGGAATATTGAACTTTTTCTTGGCTGAGGTCCTTCAGTAGATGTGTTTCAACAAATTTCTAACCAAAAAGGAATTTTGAAAATTTGACCCTAAGGGCTGTTTTCGCTGGTTGAGGCCCATATGTCAAATAAGGCACAACTAGACTTGGAAGGGCATTACACACCAGTTGCATACAAATCATACTACAATGTGTACACGGTAGGCCCTGAGCTCTGCAGGAGCACAAGTCACAGGTAACTGTACAACTTTGAACTTTGTATGCAACTACTCTGCAATGCCCTCCCACGTCTAGTTGCACGTTATTTGTCACAATTATGGGCCTCAACCAGTGAAAACAGCCCTCAGGGCTTAGGGCATGTTCGATTGGTAAGGATCGTGATCGGGATCCAGATCTCAGATCCCTCGGATCCTTCAGATTCAACTGAACACTTTATTTTGGACCTTGACTGTTGCCATGTTGAAAATGGCTCTCACAAGGCACCCAAAAGGGTGAACGTCGTACTCATCCCGTGCGTCGTACAAAAAGTCAACAAGCTCTATCTCCATCCACGTGTGCGTACCACAATGTGTACAAAAATGATTTTACCCGCCATATACGCACAAAGATCACATTTGGATCCGGTCAACCCTGCTCCCCGAGGAGGGTTGACCGAATCCAAATCCGAAGGATCCGGATCCGGATCCGACCAAACAAAAGGGTGCGAATCCAGTGGATCCGGTGGATCGGGATCCCGATCCTACCAATCGAACATGCCCTTAGTCAGGGCCACATTTTTCAAAATTCTTTTTTTGGTTAGAAATTTGTGAAAACACATCTACTAAAGGACCTCAGCCTAGGAATAGTCCAACATTCCGATGTATGTCTACAATGACTATTCACCATTCCAAGGTGGGTGGGCAGATTTAATACCTTTGAAGCAGTGCAGTGAGCAGCTAGAATGACAAAGAATAGCTGGAGATATACAAATAATCTACGTGGAGATAAAAGTTTAATAATAGCTATGAAAAGTATGAATGCCGCAGACATCACCACGCAACATGACAATTTGTTCAAGGTTTGGTTTTGTGTGTTTCCAAAATCGATTTTCACGTTCCGATCATCAGTGGAAATACGGAACTAAACAGATCAAGGGAAAAACAAAGGTTATAAATCCAAAGAAGTGTGACACATGACGGGTAACTTGTGGTAAGTATTACAAAAAGTGAGAACTAAAATAAAGAGTAAGTGTGACAAACGGGCATGAACAGTGCCGTTTGTCACACTTACTCTTTATTTTAGTTCTCACTTTTTGTAATACTTACCACAAGTTACCCGTCATGTGTCACACTTCTTTGGATTTTTAACCTTTGTTTTTCCCTTGATCTCTTTAGTTCCGTATTTCCACTGATGATCGGAACGTGAAAATCGATTTTGGAAACACACAAAACCAAACCTTGAACAAATTGTCATGTTGCGTGGTGATGTCTGCGGCATTCATACTTTTCATAGCTATTAATAGCTGGAGAGTGCAGAAAAATGATCGACATATTCGCAGCTGCATCTAGAGGGGGGTCGTCCCGCAATCTCATCTTTCTTGTCTTCCTCTTCAGCTGAAGACACGACGTCACTGCTGTCACTAGTCTTAGACACAGATGTTATCTCAGAGGACGTCTCCTCGTATTCCGAATCTGACGAGCCATCCGCCACCTTGAGCCGCTTTGCAGCAAGAGATGTGGGCTGGGATTCCGCCTCGCTGTCAACATCGATGTCGGAACCAAAGAACTTTTTATCCCGACTCTGAACTTCAGCGTCTACTTCAGCATCCGCTCCTGACCTGGCTGGAGCTGTACACAATGACCGCCACACGAACTCTGCGTGCAGACCTGACGCCTGCAGCCATCACCACATGGCCAAGGAGCACGTGAGTCGACACTCGACACCATTTCAACTTCAAAAATAATTTCTTGCGGCAAGGCCTTCAAGAAGTAAAGAACCCGTCGCGCTGCTCGCAGCGCTATCAAAAATCGTTGAATATCACAAATCTACCTTTTTCTCGAAGAAAATTACGAAACCTATAGGGTCGTTTTCGCTGATTGCGGCCCATATCATCTATTGGCTCCAATTCGAAGCCGATAATAGCACCTCCTGCATTGTTCCCGATTTGAAACACAGTAAAAAGAAAAAATACAAAAAATACATACAAATCCGTTAATCCCCGAGCTGCAGAGAGTGCTCAATGTCAGAGACAGAGCTTAGTACATAGCAGACTCAGCGGAGGACGTTCAGGTTGGTTGTAACTCTGAGTTTCATGCCGTTAGGCAATCATCAGCCAGCTATAGGTGAGTTGTGGCGGGTGTTGACTCAGTTGTGCCTGCATTACTCTGTGTGTGTGTGTATGTGTGTGTGTGTGTGTCCCATATGGTGCAGTGGTATGTGCAGCGATTTCCAATCGATAGGTTGCGGGTTCGATTCCCGACGATTATGGTCACACACGTCTTTCTTCTCTTTCTCAGACTCTTCCTGACTTTTCTTTCATTCTCCTGGGTGGTTACCAACAGCCAGTGTATGCCGGAGTATGTGGTGTGGTGTGTGTGTGTAGAAAAAAATGGAAAAAATGAAAAATAGGGATTCACTGGCCAGAAAAAGTCACTTCAAACAGCTGTGTGGTGGATACCAGGCTAAAAATAGTGGCGGTCAATTCATCAGCCTTGCAAGCTGTTGAATGGTGTAATCCCAGCACAAGTTGCTATGTCTAACATAGCTGTTCGCTATCATCGCTTCCGCGATGGGCATGTCTGAGGTCTGAGGTGTGTGTGTGCATGTGTGTGTCAATTCGCCCATGAATGAGACGGTGTCTCTTGGTGAGAGCACCATCGAGGCCGTTGACAGTTTTACGTACCTGGGCAGCGTCATCCATCGGGTCGAGCAGTCTTCGCATGATGTTCAGTCCCGTCTCGCCAAGGCTTCGCGTGTGTTCGGCAGTCTCCGTGTCCCGGTGTTTGAAAATCGGTCGTTATCTCTCCGCTGTCGGCGCCGCGTGTACATCGCCCTTGTGCTGTCGACCCTCCTGTACGTGGCCGCCGAAGGCACCGGACCTGCGCTCTCTCAACACCTTTCATCACCAGTGTGTTCGCATCATCGTTGGCATATCGAGGCAGGACCAGTGGGACAACCGCTTCACCTCCGTTACCAAGGCCCGAACCCTCGGCATTGACTGTGACGTCGCGGGCATCATCCGAGAATATCGACTGAGTGGGCTTGGCCATGTTGGCCGGATGGACGACGACTGTATGCCGAAGCGAGTTTTGTTTGGGGAGCTCTCTGCAACACACCCTCGCCATGGTCCACGCAAGCGGTGGCGTGACGTCATCGTGGATGATCTCCGCTCCATCAGCCCCCCCCCCCCCCCCCCCCTGTGCCTTCTGACTGCTGGTTTGATGATGCCCAGGATCGCTCTGCCTGGAGGCGGATTGCTCATCGTCATCCTCCCGCCCGTGCTCCTCCTGATCCTGACTCTGGCTTCCGCTGCGCATGTGGAAAGGTCTGCCGTCGTCCCGGGGACCTCAAGCGCCACGCTCCGTACTGCAAAGCTAGCAGATAGTCCCTTCGCTAACATTGCCATCGGCAATGGGCACGTTCAAGGTTCAATGTGTGTGTGTGTGTGTGTTTGTGTGTGTGTGTGCGTGTGTGTGTCCCATATGGTGCAGTGGTATGTGCAGCGATTTCCAATCGAGAGGTTGCGGGTTCGATTCCCGACGATTATTGTCACACTCGTCTTTCTTCTCTTTCTCAGACTCCTCCTGACTTTTCTTTCATTCTCCTAGGTGGTTACCAGCTCATGCTAGTTGTAGAATGGCAGTACCGTCGGTCAGAGTCGTGCAATGTTATCGCATGAGCTGATTGTTTAGTAACTGGTGGTGTTAGTGGACGTTATAGTGTAACTTGTAGTTCCTTGGTCCTTTTTACTTTTTATAAAGAAAATTGAAGAACATTGGTTTTTACCCCGTTCTTACACACACTAAGTCAGTATTAGAAAACAATTCTCTGTTTTTTATTCATTGCTTAGCGCGTGAAAACTCGGAGTTAGAACAATTTTTCATCCTGTATTCTTGTCAGCACAGATAACATGTCACCTCCTACCCTCCGCAACAGTATTCTTAGTGGTAGTGGCTTGTAAGAAAGGTTCTAATTCTGAACATGCACAGGCTTGCATGTACAGCTGACTAGTGAGACTGTGACATGCCGCAAGGCTTCAGAGAACTACAATATTTCCAAGTCGATTTTTACAGTATTTCCAGGTCCAGATTGAACATGTAAAGCTGGTGTATGTGCAGGTATCGTAATTCCTCGGTTATAAGAAGTGCGCGCCTTACAATCGAGTGGGACACCCTACATTACATGAGGATATATTAAAACAGTATGGCTAAAACCGAGAAGCTGCTGCAGTGTGACTTGTAATCGAGTGCGACTTAAATTAGGGGAATTGAAATACTACCACATGTGTTCATTTATATTTTGTGAAATTGCATGCACTATCTCCCGCTGTCCCAGGCGCAACAACACAAACACCCTCCTCTGGCGTTGCAGCCTCGCCGCCTACCTCTGTTCAAGCTCCTGGACAAGTAACGCCTACGCCAGCAGAAGCACCAGCATCAGCAGCAGCAGCAACAGTAGCAGCAGCGGCAGTGCCGGGGACATTGGCCCCCACGGCTAATCTTCACGTGGACAGTCAACTAGGCGAGATGATAGGGTAAGGCCACTTCAAACTCTACATAGTCTGAACGAGTTGAAAACGGAAAGGTTTGAAGAAAGAATCGTCCCCAGCAGCACTCAAACCAGAAACCCTAGGCTACGGGCAGTGATGCTTTATGAGTACATGTAAGCCATGGTTTAGTTAGCTTCCCAACAGCGACCGCTGAGAAAACAAAATTTCTTTTGCGCCTGTGTTCGTGCGGCGCAGAACGGTTTCCTGCATGATGACATAACGCTTAAGTGCTGCTCTGAAGTCGGTCTGTTTCCACTGCGTCCCAGCATCTGCCAAGCCTCACGATTCTTCGAGTTTGGTGGCAACAGTGATCGGCAGTTTACTCCAGAGCTTCTGGCATAGCAGTTGCTGCTCATTCAGTTGCTCACCCTGCATCTCCAGTTGGCGAAGTATTGCCTCCATGTCGCTCTGTACATGCCTGATGTCGCTGAATGAGTCTCCAGCATGCGGGATGTCTTCTAGTCTACCATATAGACTAGAGATTATGGCTTCTGTGCGACGAAACCTTTCGCACAGGATCTGCTTCACAGTGGTATAGTTGGCGCCTGTCACCGAGATTCTCTCTATCGCCTTGGCTGCCGCACCAGATAGCGTAGACTTCAAGTACGTCAACTTCATGACATCTGCCATCCTCTGTAAATCCACACTGGCGATGAAGCGGTCCCAGTAATCTGGCCATTCTAACACATCACCACTAAAGTTCGGTAAGCTCAGCTTCGGCAGCTGTGTCTTTGGTTGAGAGCTGTGGTGCGTGTCACTTAGCGCACTTACTGCCGCTTGTGCAGCATACGCTGCTGCTTCACTCACTGCGTGGTGGAATGATGCGGATGTGTTTAAACTGAGTTCAGGCATGGAGCCGTACCGATGCATAGCTGCAACTGGCGTTGACTGGTCTCTCACCGACTGGATGGGTGTTGCCGCTGCGGAGCAATCCAGTGACTGTGGCGGCGGTGGTAGTGGCTCTGTCGATGCCAGTGGGGTGAAGGCCGACACGGCCGGATTGAGGGAGAACTTAACAGGACGTGCCGGTCCCATCTGCGCAGCCGCGTCGTCTACCGCCGACTTCCGGGAGCTGATTGACTGCGTTGTAGAACTTTGAGTACTACTACTGCATGTACTACTACTGCATGTACTGCTACTAGCGCTAGATGTACTGTGATTGAGCTCCTTGAGAACGGTGCACGCGTCTAAAACGCTAGTGTTGGAGTGGTGGAATTCAGCTTCCCAGTGCTCAAGCTCGTCCAATGCTTTTTCAGCATCTTCCATCTCGTCGTAACATTCGTACTTTTCCCTGATCTTTTCGCAGATAGTGTTATCCCTCCGAATTGCTACTTGGATCAGGTTCCAATCGTTCTCCACGCTTGAACAAATTATTTTTTCTTTTTCCTTACTCAGGTCGTAATAAATTCTGTTGCGGATGCGGGTTACCTGCCCTTTGGCACTACGGCGCTGTAGCAACAGCCGCTCTAGTGAAACCATTGCGTTGTCTGACTCAGGTTCAGGTTTTACTTCCTTATCGTCCGACATCGTCGTCGGGATGTGATTCGTCCAGTCGAATCAGCGTTCGTCAGGATCCGTATCCTGGTCACAGCACCATGTGACGATTAGTTGATATCGGGCGGATAATATGATACACCAGAGAGACAAGAGACAATAGAGAGGTTCCGGGGTACGATTTTCCGTGCCAAAATCCGTATGGGCGCTACGGATTTTGTCCAGGCGTGCTCCATACGATTTTTCGGCACGAGAATCCGTGTGGACTGGCTTTCACACGAACCATGCTTCGTATGGAGATTTGGCGTCATCGGGTGCAGAAAGATTTTTCGCGTACAAATTTGGTACGAGAAACATCGATTTTCGCGGGAAGTTTTGATTTCGGTACAAATTTTCAAAATAAAAAGGCATAGCGCGGGAATGTGACGTGTTTGCGATCGTAACCTAGGCAATGACGGCAAACACATAAGTTCCGTACCCCGGAACTTTTCACTGCTCCAAAACGACGTATAAAAAATCCTTAGAGCCTCCACGGATTTTGGCACGAAAAATCGTTCTCCGGAACCTCCCTAATAGTTACTTCTACGTTGTGTTTTAGTTCCAAACCATAATTCAAGAGCGTCCTAAAAACGGCTACTGAATTCCAACTACCAGTGGAAAACCAATCCCTTTTGGCTAAAGGACAAATCAGCAAAAGGCCCCAGCCAGCCAGAAAGGGATACGGGAAAATGTGGATTACTACCGTACTGCGCAGTAGAGCGCAGAAGAACCGAGCGCGCTCGCGGGTGCGTGACATAAATGAAGTGTTAGCAGGACTAAAGTACGATTTATGCTACAGTTCAAGCTGACGGAACACGTGCAGCGCTACACAGCAACTGTGTACCACATGGAAGCAAACATAAATAGAGGAGGAAACATGGGATAGCAGACATGAACTCAAGGTCAAACTGATAAGCGCGTAACGTGAATGCATGCAGTATATGGAGATCAGAGAAATACACAGAGCTCAGTGCGCACCCACTACTACACACTAAACTCGTACACTTGAATGTCACGACAAACCTCAAGATTTGCCGAGCTGAAAATCACAGGATACGTAATGTTTGTAACACTGAGTGAAATGGTCTTGGTCCGAAGAAGCTGCAACAAACGGTTCCCCAATCGAACGGATTCCGAATAATGGCCATTTTGCACACAAAATAATTAATAATTATAATAATGGTGTGGCTACCTGGCTGCACACTGTGACGTCATCACCTAGATCTGGGTGATGCGCCCTCAAATTCGCACATGTTCGATTGGGCGTATCTGACGAACCATAGACCACAGCCTTTTCGGACAAAGACCATTCGACTCAGCGCCCCAAACTCTACGGACACTGAAATTTGAATTTTTCACCAGACTTCCTCTTTGTGTTTCATTTGGACCTCCTGATCTAAAGAGGTCGTTTTCTTAGTTTTTCGCAGTACATGTATGGAGAACAGGGTATTTGAAAGTTCACCACACTGTATTGAGAGATATGGCCGAAACAGCTTGCTGTCTACAGCATTGGGTACTACACTCCTCAGCATTCGTCTTGTTCTGCACTCTCACTAGTACTGAGTTCTCTAATGCTGCTGCATCACGCCATGCCCGCTACTTTTCATAGTTGGAGCACTCTGACGCTAGAGCGACGAGCTATCTTAATGTCTGTGGTGCCTCCTTTGCACCATGGCAGATAGCTCGGCTTGCTTAAAGCTCATAGCTGTACCGATTTGGCCTTTATGGCCTAAAGAGCTTGCTATCTACAGCGTAGGGTATTGAGAGATGTAAGCACTGTGGGCAGTAGCCAAACAGTAGCCTGTGCTTGATGAAGATTTACGTTGCCTGCACAGTAGTACATGTACTGTAAGACCAGATATTTTAACGTCAATTAAAGTTAACGATCTCCGGATTTTTGTGGGTTAGCGAGGTGAAGTTCTAACTAATTCCGTGTCAAAACAAGCAGATGATTGTACATGTACGTATCGTTTTGCACATAACGACTTCAAATGTTTAAATGATTTTCTTAAATTCGTTAAATCGTTAGAATTAAAATTAAATGTTCGTTAGCACTACTGGTCTTACAGTATGCTGGATATGGCGGCTCAGAGCAATGCCCGGCATGGTGCAGAGAGGTTTTACAAGCGTGTATGCTAATGGCTGACGAGTGTAAGTACGTGTTGGCTGAAAGCGCAGGGAGGAGAGATGGTGAAGAGAAGGTGATACTGCTGATTCCACAGTATGTTGTGTGTTCATCTTGCTTCTCTATGTAGTTCGAAACGCCTTAAAGATATCGACGACCACACACAATTTGCGCAGAGTCTTCAAGATTTCTTCAATAGAAATGAAAAGAGTAAGTACTTTGCAAATTTAACTTGGATACTGAGCCAGTAAATATAATTGGAATACAAGAAATCACATGGAAACGAGTTAAGAAGCAACTATCCGCGACCGTCACAAGATGATACTCAGTCAGAAAGTTATGTTATGTGATCACACTTTCTGACTGCGTGTTATCTTGTTACAGCCGTGGATAGTTGCTTCATAACTCGTTTCCATGTGATTTCTTCTGTTTTAATTGCATTTTTCCTTGATTTTTTCTCCAGTTTTGCAATGCATTGTAATTTTGGGTTTTTGCCCATACAAGAGGATTTTGAGTGCGCTAACAAAATGTTTGACAAAAGTAAGTAGTTTAATGAACTCGGATACTGAGTCGGTAAAAAATATATATCTGACCCACCCAAGTTGGGTGGTGTGTTGCTTTGCCGCTTCGAATTGTAGTCGGACCGCATTGTCAAGTTATTGACTGGTCTCGTCATCTTCCTGTAACAGTCGATATTCGTTGTTACCATGGGACATAGCCTGCACACAATTTTCGCTGTGCTCACCTTCCCATCTTTGATCCTAGCATAACCTTGAGCCTTCCAAGCTGGAACATTCCCAGATCTCAAGTCTAAACCTCCCAAATGCATGAGTGCAAAGGAAGAAACAAACACCTGGTCTTACATGAAGGGACAGGAGGATGTTTGTTTGGTTGTTGAAAAATGTAAGGAGAATATGTTATGAGTTATGAGCAACTACCCGCCAAAGTAACCAGATAATATGATGTCAGCTAGACGACAACAAGGCTTAAAACTGACACGTAGTAGTACTGTAGAGAGACATTTACCAACTTGACAGCTAACATAGCTACAACACAGTCTACAATATGCAAACTAATCACCTTCCAACTTGGACAGCTCAGGTTAGGAATCACTCAATGAGAGGAAGGAAAGCGTAACGCCAAAATTAGAACCAGCTACGACCCTCAGCAACAAAAAATGGCAATGGTTACTGGATGATGATGATGATGATTTTTTTTGATTCCCACCTTCCAACCCGGCAAATATTTAGATTTTGATAAAAACGATTCAAAGCCTGGAAGAGAAAAGGACATATGGATACGAGTTAAGAGTAACTCTCCATCACTGTAACATGATACTATATACAGTCAGAAAGTGCAATAACTAGGCACAAAACTGACAGAGTACTGAAACATTCGACGTCCTGACACCTAGCTTCAACACATCTCCGTAGCGCTAACCGACAGCCTTCCAACTTGGAAGGTTCAAGGTTATGGAAAAGACCAAAGAGGGGAAGGCAATTGGGACTGTAGCTTTTGCTCGTTTTCGTTGCGCTTGCCTTCCCCTCTTTGGTCTTTTCCATAACCTTGAACCTTCCAAGTTGGAAGGCTGTCGGTTAGCGCTACGGAGATGTGTTGAAGCTAGGTGTCAGGACGTCGAATGTTTCAGTCAGTTTTGTGCCTAGTTATTGCACTTTCTGACTGTATATAGTATCATGTTACAGTGATGGAGAGTTACTCTTAACTCGTATCCATTTCTCTTCCACATTTATTTATGGCTCAACATCCGAGTTTCAGATTCAAATCCTCTCAATTATTTTTGTAATACTTGAAGTACAGTACATGTATGATACATTGGCTCACCATCCGAGTTTAAGTTTGAAAAGTTTTTTGAGAATTCGAACTAGGATTTTGTGACATCGGCGGTAATTCTGTTTGAGTTTTGTGGTTTGAAGGATAACCTGTTGTTCTATGTGTGCGGCTAAAAATCTCACAGAAGACTTCGGTCGCAAAGCAGTCGAGGCTGTGGACTCAAGCCGTAACAACGATTCGCTTGTCGTACTGGGACATTTTCATGAGGACAAAAAGGAATCCATCAATGGCCCGTGGAAGGGCCAAGAGAACTTGATGTGCATCATCTACTATCTGATCGTCAAGAATGGAGAGATGACTATACATGATTTGTTTGAGATGCTCAGAGCATGTGCACCGGAGAACACAGACGCAATAAAGAAAGAGCTGATGTGAGTATGAGAAATGCTTGTGTTAGGGCATGTTCGATTGGTAGGATCCAGATCTCAGATCCGTCGAATCCTTCAGAGTCCATTGAACACTTTGTTTTAGTCCTTGACTCTTGCCATGTTGGTGAAGTAATAGAGTGGCACTCACGGGTCACCCAAAAGGGTGAAAGTCGTATTCGTGGCGCACGTGTCGTACCAAAAGTCAACAAGAGTATCTCGAGCGACGTGTGTGCGTACCACAATGTGTACAAAAGTGATTTTTACCCGCCATATACGCACAAAGGTCACATTTGGATCTGTTGGATCCGGTCAACCTTGCTCCCCGAGGTGGGTTCACCGGATCCCAATCCAAAGGATCCGGATCCGGATTCGATCAATCGAAAGGGTGCGAATCCAGTGGATCCGGTTGATCAGGATCCCGATCCTACCAATCAAACATGCCCCTATGTACCTCCTCCCGTATATTGCCTCCTACCACCTTTTCCAAACTGGCTTGCATGCACCGCGTGCGATTTCCATAATAATGATGTATTGGTTCGTGTCCCTGCATCTCTGCTGGCATCTCTCCTGGCATCTCTGCTGGCATCTTTGCTGGCATCTGTGCTGGCATCTCTGCTGGCATCTGTGCAAATCTTTGACGATTGCAGTGCTCGCCATCTAACTGTACTCCAATGTCGTTGCATTCATTCCACCTGCATACGTTGTATTTGTGTGTGTGTGTGTGTGTGCATGCATGCGGGTGTATGTGTTTGTGCGTACGCGTTTGCATGCGTGTGTGCATGCATGCATGTTTGTGTGTGTGTGTGTGCGCGTGCGTATGTGTGCGTGTGTGTGCGCATGTATGTATGTGTGTTTTTTCATTATTGTCATTTAAGGACGGCTTCGTACAACTGAGCAGTGTCGTGAAGTCACCATGGCAACTACCCAAGTACACTACGCGAAGGTCGCCAGATGTCTGGGGCATAGTTGTCTTCTGCGGTTTGTTCTTGCGAAACTGCGCGCTGCATTACTCTGCATTACTCTGCATTACTCTGCATCACTCTGCATTACTCTGCATCACTCTGCATCACTCTGCATTGCTCTGCATTACTCTGCATTACTCTGCATTGCTCTGCATCACTCTGCATTACTCTGCATTACTCTGCATTACTCTGCATCACTCTGCATTGCTCTGCATTGCTCTGCATTACTCTGCATTGCTCTGCATCACTCTGCATTACTCTGCATTACTCTGCATACCTAGTAGAATACATGTGACTGTTATCTCTTTGCCATTCTATGTTCGAAGTCGGAAGAAAATGTTGAACGGTCTATGCTGGGATGACGGCTACACCATAGCTCAGTGGTTAGAGCATCGCTGGCCACAAGCGAGGGCCGAGGGTCCCTGGTTCTTGTCCTGGTGGTGACATTCAATTTTTTCTTCAGATTTTTCTCTTTTCCCTTCCCTCAACTAGTATGTATGGCGATGTTTTCATGTTTTCTCTGATTTTAAAAAAGTTCCCTTGGGCCAGGTCTGCCTGCATGCTGGGAAGCATGGCTTGCTACCCAGTGGCGGGTTTAGGGGGGGGGGGGCGCGGGGGGCGCGGGGGGCGCGCCCCCCCCCCCCCCCTCAAAAATTTCGACCTAGGTTTCGAAAAATAATACAGGGTGCGCGCCGGGTCGAGCTAGACTAGGAAGCGGTTGCACGGTGCGGTGCTCGAGCTGGGGTTGATTGTACACACTACAGACTAGTACAGAGTAGAGTCTACGTACAGTGAGCATGCACGGCTACAGAAACACGATGACCTGACTGTGTAGTGTTGTACAGTGTGATCCCTGCTGGGACGCGCTCGACGCGTCTTCAACGGTACAAACATCGAAGAAAAGTCTTCGATCGAGTCAACCAAAACACGATTCGAATGCCGAGGGCTCAGGCGATCATCCTCGTTCGAATCGTGTTTTGGTTGACTCGAAGGCTTTTCTTCGATGTCTCAGGGACATCCCAAAAGGCCAAGCTCTAGCCAGCAGAGCCTGGAATATTTGTAAAACGTTCCTGTGGCGGCGCAACTCCTGCTGCCGCTCCAACAGGAAACAGTGGGAGTGATGAAGTCGCTGTTATTCCAGTCGAACTTTCGGAGCGGACTGACAGTCACACTCCGCCAGACGTGGAAGAACCTGTTGTCAGCGAGCAGCCAGAACATGAAGAACAGCGCACAGTGACAAGTACCGCTGCCTATGTAAAGGATGCTTTGAGAGCGATGAGAAATTGTTGGACTCGCATAAATAATTGCAGTTGATTCGCTCACATAATGGCAAATTTGAAGTTTATAATGTACATTGTTGCTGCGTGTACAGAAATACTGCTCGTGGTGTGTGAGATTTACGGCTTGTTTCAAATCTTTATTCTCACGATAGCCAGTGGCCAATAAGAGATAATAGTGTAAGAAAGGAGAAAGAGTGAGGAAGAATTGGGTGGGCAGGGCCTAGGGGTTAATGACTACTTAAGTGTACGGGAAGGGGTGGTTGCCACACGAGCATACAGAGTTGCGTACTTAAGTGTACGGGCAAGGGTGGTCGCTACACGAGCATACAGAGTTGTGCAATAGCAGGGATATCTCGGATTTGAAGGGAGTACGAGAAGGGATTTCGCGAAGCTTGGTGGGCAGGCAATTAAAGTAATGAAGGGCCTTGTACAGGGGAGAATGGAGACAGCGGTCAGTCCGCGGAGTTGGCAAGTGCCAAGTACGAGAGCGACGTAAATTATACGAAGGTTGCACGTTACTAGCAGTATGCAGCGCGAGTATATGTGGTGGGGCATAATTGTGGCGCAGAGAATGCGCGAAGTTGTTGTTGTTGTTGTTGTTTATTTTACTTCACCAAATGAACAGGCAGAGATGCCTTCTCACCTGCCCATAGGACAGGTTCTCACAGAATGATGAAGGGATGATATGCAAGGGAAAACAAGAAATGATAATAATAATAATTTTATAATAGCTATAAAGAGAACAAATTCTGCTGTCATCGCCACACTACAACAAAGTCATGAAGGTTTACCAAAATCGATTTTCTTGTCACAATCATCAGTGGAAAGCCGTGACTGAAGAGTAACCATGCTGAATCAATGATTAATATACATTCAATAATGTGTTACGAGAACAAAACAAAGTGCTAAAATAGAATGAGGGAAGGTGAGACAATAGAAGTGAAGTGAGAGCTAAGTGCAACAGGGGTGAGGAACTAATTGCAACGCTAGAACTGTGTATTGAGACAAACAATCATGCTGTGCACCTGCGAAAACAATCTTAACGCAGCTACATGTTTCTTCTGCTTACAAAGATCAGGCTTATGCAAACGAATACAAACAGCCTCAAGTACTTTCAACTGACTAGCGTACCGTGCACGACAAAGAACAGAAAAACTAAAATCATCATACACCTGCAGACACTTAGGGTGAGACAACAGATGAAGAAAAACGGCAGACTTCTTACGATCACAATCACCATCCGATTCCTCGTCTCCACCAACCGCAACCTCGTCCTCCGTCTCATCTTCCAACTCGTCCTCAGTGTCGTCCCCCGTGTCATTCTCCTCATCCACACCGATCGGTCCCAGGCTCGCTTCATGTTGCTTAACCTCTGTTCGTTGACTCCTCCTTTGATCTTGATGGTAATTTGTTACCATTGTTGTTGTTGTTGTTGTTATTGTTGTTGTTCCTGTAGTTGTTAAATCTTCTGTTCCCAGTATCTTCGCCGGTGCTTGACATCCTGTACTGTAATAATTCATTGAATAATTAGCCGTTGATCGTCTTGGTCTTTGAATGTTGATCGTGTTGTTTTCTCTGTTGAATTCCGTTCCCTTCAGCTTTCTTTCTCCTTGTTCCTGTTCAGTGCTTACCTCCTCCATATTCACCTGTGCCACCGACCCCACAGACCCAGCCCCAGCACCGCCGATGACAGGTGCAGGTGGCGGTTCCGGAGGAGGCAACGGCAACGACGGCGATGGGGGCATCACCTCATCGCAGCGTCCACTTTGGTCTTGAGCCAGATGTTCTTGTGGCGTACTCTCATGTGTTGTTATCGTGCATTGTGTTGTGGTGACGATGTGCACATTATCCATCTCCACGGTTCTCGATACGGGTAACGGAGGCACTATTGCCGACGACGGCAATTGTGCTAACGATGGCTGTGACCGAGGGTTCTTAGGTGGCCTGCCGCGTTTGGGCCGCAGCGCCCGTGCCGAGCCAGTCAGCATGTGCAGTGGGACGTGCTGCTTGATACGTGCGTTCAGATGTTCAGGTGTTCATCTGTTGTCTCACCCTAAGTGTCTGCAGGTGTATGATGATTTTAGTTTTTCTGTTCTTTGTCGTGCACGGTACGCTAGTCAGTTGAAAGTACTTGAGGCTGTTTGTATTCGTTTGCATAAGCCTGATCTTTGTAAACAGAAGAAACATGTAGTTGCGTTAAGATTGTTTTCGTAGGTGCACAGCATGATTGTTTGTCTCAATACACAGTTCTAGCGTTGTAATTAGTTCCTCACCCCTGTTGCACTTAGCTCTCACTTCACTTCTATTGTCTCACCTTCCCTCATTCTATTTTAGCACTTTGTTTTGTTCTCGTAACACATTATTGAATGTATATTAATCATTGATTCAGCATGGTTACTCTTCAGTCACGGCTTTCCACTGATGATTGTGACAAGAAAATCGATTTTGGTAAACCTTCATGACTTTGTTGTAGTGTGGCGATGACAGCAGAATTTGTTCTCTTTATAGCTATTATAAAATTGTTGTCTCCACGTCGATTATTTACAAATAATAATAATAATAATAATAATAATGAAGGTACGTGTTGGGTCGTAAGTATCCACGCAAACACACATCCAGTCAAAATAAGGCACTTGTCAAAGTATCCGAACGTTTTCGGTCCCTTCTCATCAAGGATTATACAGGGAATGGCTCAAGTTGGAAAGACTAAAACTTATATAGCGTAAAGATATGAGATAACAACACTCGTGACAAGGTGGAAAAAGTGTCAAGTTCAGCACGACACAAAACTCGAAGGAAATAATAATAGCGACAAGAACATAGTGAGCAAATTAAGTTACATTGTTAACACCTCGACGAGGAGTAACACCAAACAATTGTAGCGACAACACATTTTCTTTCTGTACGCAAAGTTCAGGATCTAACTTACGGATATACAAAGCTTCTAACACAGCCAGATGCAACGCACATCTACCACGTGACAATATTGAGAACACATTATCACTGTACAACTCACGACAATTGGTACGGGCTGACAGATGTTGCTTGATGGACGAAGTGCGATTCTTAGCTCCGTTGGGTGTAGTCTCCTCCAATGTCCCGTCATCTCGCCTCTTCGCGGCATCACCACTATCCGCCTCTTTGCTTTTCCGCGGTTTTCCACGTTTTCTGACACCATCCGTCGCGTGCGCGATGCCCAGTGTCCTCTCAGCCACGTCCCCTCCATTGCGGATTTCTATTGATCTTCTTACTCCAACTTGTCCGGTGTTCGATATTGAGGTTCGTTTTCGCGGTCTACCACGTTTTCGAATATTGACTGTTGTTGTCACTTCCGTTGTCGTTGGACGTGTGTCCTCACCAGTCCGTATTTTTACTTGGCTTCGCGTAACCCTTCCCATGTGTTGTTATCTCATATCTTTACGCTATATAAGTTTTAGTCTTTCCAACTTGAGCCAATCCCTGTATAATCCTTGATGAGAAGGGACCGAAAACGTTCGGATACTTTGACAAGTGCCTTATTTTGACTGGATGTGTGTTTGCGCGGATACTTACGACCCAACACGTACCTTCGTTATTAAAGTATTATCCGCCTCCGACTTCTTGTAAAAATAATAATAATAATAATAATAACTGGTTTTGAGGGAAAGAGACAAACGGATATATAACGAATAATAATAATATAAGACAGAAAGGACCAAAAGAAGAAAGGGAAAAATTTATATGAAGAACAATTGGAGTCAGAAATAGAAAGACAATAATTTCATGGAGTCAAAGAATAGAAAGACAATCTCATGGAGTCAGGAACACGTGGTTGATTTTATAGACATGCATGCACAAATGATTGATAGAATATAAGAAGG